GATGAAGTATGCAACTCCATCCTCTGTTTCTGTGCCTACTACCCAAACTACTACTCCTACTGAGACTAGTGACGGATCTGTTGATATGGAGTCCGCATTTGAAGCTCGGTTCCAGCAGAAGAGAAAGGAGCAAATTGAGAGGGGGGGGGGTCGAGGTTATGCTGAGTTGGAGCAGTATTTGAGGGATATTGGTGATACTATTAATGAGGAGATTGATGATCGGAAGTTTGACATTCTGAAGTGGTGGGCTCGGAACAGTGTTAGATATCCCATTCTTTCGGAGATGGTTAGGGATATATTAGCAGTTCCAGTCTCCTTTGTTGCATCGGACTCTGCTTTCAGTTGTGGAGGTCGAATTCTTAGTCCTTTCAGGTCTTCTTTAAGCCCAAACATTGTGGAGGCATTGGTATGCGGTGAAGATGGGATAAGATATGAAAGTGGAAAGACTGCAGATGAACTGAATGATAAGGAAGAAGATCAAGAGACAATCGATTATGAAAGTGGTAAGAATTCAATTTATTATTCTAATTTGTCTATACTCTTTACTATTTAAATTTTAAACCATTCCATTAGTAACATACTAACATTTGTGTATTTTATTTGCACTAGTTACTAGTACTTTCCAATCTCGAGCGGAAACTGCAAGTGACATCTCAAGTGGAGCACATAGCTTACCTGTTGGGGTTGATGAGGAGGAGGTCGAGGAGGAGAATGAGGAAGAGGAGGATAGTGATGATGATGAAACCACCGAGTCCGACGAAGACATGAACCAAGATGCCGATGATCCCGATGATACTCTTCTCATGACTTTGAAGAAGAAAGGTTGTGCAAATGTTGGTGGTGCTACAAGTTCTACCGGAGAAGGAGGAGCATGAGCTATTGGTTATTAACGTATTTGGTTGTCTATTTTAATTTTTAAGTTTGGACTTTGAACTTGTGTTGAATTTAGACATTATCATCGGACACTTTAGTCGATTGACGAATGACGATTATGTGTTTATGTTGATTGTTGACTTGTTGTCCCTTTGAATTTGACGATGTTTGTCGAATTGTCGTTTGATGAATTTAAATATTTGATGAATGATGATGCTTGATGAGAGTTGATGTTGATTCATGAATCATTATTGTTGACCCTTTGAACTTATGTTAAATTAAATAGATTAATAGATAACAACTTTGAGTTTGCCAAATATTAAGTTAACTAGTTAAGGCATTAACATATAAGTATATAACATACTATTTTTTTACCCGCCCGTTGGGCGGTGTATTTTGTTTGGTTGTTTTATAATTCGTTATAGTATGCTAATTGTTATTATTATTTATGTTTGCTAAGGTAATATACATGAAATTGTAAATCCCACTTACCTTATTTCAGGTATTATTTCATACTTTTATACCTTTTGTTTATTTATGAACATTTTAATTTTATTAACTGAGTTCTTTGTAGACGGTTCTTTATTGATTTAGATTTTTTTTTTTATCAAACTCGCCCTTTAAGATTATAAACATAAGAGATTATTCATTCTTTAGCACAGAATTGTGACAAAGAAGTTAAAAAACTTACGGCCACAAAAGAAGAAGTTAGAATAAGAAAATGTGCTTCAATTAATAATAATAATAAAATAAGCGAAGAGCTTTTTATTTTCTCTCCCTTCTCATATGTCGGTATATGATAATATAGAATATTCCAATCTAAATCCCATGAATATCGTGTATTATCACTTACACATACAATTTTGGAATAATGAGGAAACTCATTAGCATCCACGTCCATCAATCTTCCACGTACTTGTTTAATTACCTTGAAATGTTCTAGCAAAACCAACCACAAACAAAACTATCAACTGTCACTAGCTTATTAAAGCAATATTTTCAGTAAATTAAACTGCATATAATTAAACACAATTTATATTTTGTAGAGAGCTACATATCTCCTGCAGAAAAATTGTGTTTTATTACCTAATAACAACATAGACAAATAATGAAAGGAGCAGTCTTCAATACAACTCAACTCATTTTATCATTTAGATTCCTCATTTGTGAACTGAATATATGCATCAATCCAAATAGTAGTTTGTAAGAAAACAATCATGTCAAAATCAATCTTTAGTTAGGGATTCAATGCAGAAAAATTCACCTTAATGAAACAAACAAATGTCACCGCAAACATGTAGAAATTAAAAAATCATCGAAATAGACAACCGAGAATCCACCATTATCATTTTCTTTCTTCTTCGCGACCTTTATAAAACCCCAATTATGTTCCCTTCTACTTATAACCCCTTTGTTACCTACTAATTACTAACCAGATCATCATTGTATAGCTAGCTAGTAGTAGCATGTCAATCATGAACATAAAATATAATAAACAATCATCACAACTCTACTTTCCATTTCAACATTCAGGAAATCGGGTTGCAATAGGCATTAAAAAAAAAACGATCAATTATTCAACCAAATGAGGTATGCCCTAACTCCAACCAATTAACCCTTCTAATTATATTTTATATACATGAAAGTATATGGCGACCCTTCTCAGTAAAAAACAAAGAAGAAATATATTCACTCATCGAGAGTGGGAAAATTTACCATCCAGCAGTCGTAATTTGGAAGAAATTAAGAAAAGAATGGGAAAAATAGTATAACTCGGCCAGTCAACCGCAAACAATAACATATCGCTGAGAAAGTGAGACCAGTTGCCAGCTTCAGATCAAGGAGGAAGAGGGAGCAGTCGACAACCCTTGGCTTGGTTCACCTCATCTTCGCAATGATCATATTAACTTTTTTCGTCAATAGGCAAAAATATGTTACAACTGCTCAAAATTTTATCATCTTATCGTTGTCTCGTGTAATTTCTGCCTCCTATTCTCATACAAAGAAAAAAAACCGTATGCATTACCATTTCCTTCTCTATAAATTATGAGAATACAAATATTAGAAATCTCAAAAAATTTAGCAACTAATAAGAGGGCTTTGTTTATTTTTATGGTGGTTGACATACTTTATTGATTTCTTATTTTCAATGTTGGATTTTATTTCTAGAGAGACAATCAAAATGGGGAAAGGGATAGAAACAAATTAAAAGTTTGCATTAATAATTAATATGTTTTCATTTAATCGAAATGAATCAGAAGTTTTTTAAAAAATAACAATTATTGTTCTGTCAAGTTTATATTCAAACATTTTGCTATATAATTTATACTTGTTTTATTTGATAGGTATAAGTGAGTGTTTGATAGCAAAAAACATATAGTCATATCGTTCATTTCTCAAAGTCGATTGATTGTCAAACGTTTATTTTCTCTTAGATCATCGTTTATATTTTGTATTGAAAAATATTAATATTTATGTGTGTGCTTGTTTTTTTCTTCATCAAAATGTAACTTATTATTAATTTTTAGTAAAAATGAGTAGAAAATTTACTTAATCAGATTTAATCAGCTTGGGTTAAACAGATACAATATATGTCACTCTCTGTTTCCATCTTTATAGTTTGTTTAATCGAATTTTTTTGATTACTTTGGTGTGTGTTTTTTTGTTTAAATGTTTCCAAAAAATTTAACTTATTTTAATTTTAGTAAAAATGAGTAGAATTATTAAAAGAAGAGAGAGATAACTTCATAAATAGATCAATAAATAGTTTTTTGTTTGAAAAAAAAATTGTCCACCTTGGCAACTTGTGCATTCACCAAGTGCTTATGTGGCAAAAAACTATTTTTGAATAGCCATAATATTTAGTATAGATAGATAGATATAGATATAGATAGATAGATAGATAGATAGATAGATACTTCATTATTCACAAATATAAAATATTACATACATGAATGTAAGTAAGTATAGGCCTCAAAAATATTATAAATAAGAGTTAATAATAAATTATTAATTACAAAAATCAAGAAAACAACTCAGAAAAATCAAAATATTACAACATCACCCACTACCAGAAATTCGGTTCGGTAAATGTTCGGTAAACCGAACCGAAAACCCGCCCGACGTCTCTTCTCGCGGTATTTCGGTAATACTGTTTTGTAACCGTTTACCGGTAATTCGGTAATCGATAAACCGATTACAAACCGGTATCGGTAATCGATTCTAGTTTAGCTAACTTTGGTATACCAAAACCGGTAAATTTGGTAAACAATTTACCGTTTAGCGACCGAATCTCACCCCTAATCGCAGTACCTCTCCTCCTCTCTCACCCATCACCACTCTCAACCTCTCCCTGGTCCGGAACTCTCCATCTCCTCTCGCCACTCTCTCCCCTTGATTCCTTTCCCAGTTCCCTTCTTCCGGATCAATTATTTGTCCCTGGATTAACACCGCCTCTTATTATATTTTTTTATTAATATTTCGTGCAGACATGACCATAAGATTAATGGTCAATAGTGTGTACCGTCCAACTTAATGGACAATTCATAGATCAGTTCATAGTGGTCCAAATAATTATGAATTTTGGTTAGAATGAGAACTTTAGAAAATTCGGACCAAACTAGTTCATTAGCTTAAAGTTCATACCAAGTTCCCACTTCACACCAAAATATACATCAAACTTGGATCTGCATGACTGCATCTGCTTAGCAATCCGCCCAAGTTATACTTCTAGGCCTAGCTGGCAAAGTACAATCGTGGGCCTAGAACTAATGGGCTATTCCAAGAGAATATTGCCGGCCACAAGTTTTTTTTCTTCTTTTTCCTCCATTCAACTGATCAAACAACACTCCTGGAAGTTCATAACCCGCCCATTATGAAAGCCCAATCAGGGTCTGTAAAGATAATGGGAATATCCGTTTTAAGAAAAGAAAAATAAAAAAGATAAGAGGACATAATCGTCCAAGAACCAAGAACTGAGTGGCAAATTCGTCATTTAACTCCTTCACACCGTTGGCCGCTAACCGCCATAAAGAAGATCCCTACCGCTCCCCAACGGAAATAGACGTGTCACATCCTCATTGGTAGCCCACCAATATAAATTGATCCGTTTCCCCCTTCTTTCCCTCTCATCTCATGACATTTCGTCTTCATCATCAGCAAACACTGTTAACCAATTTCCCCGCGTTTCCCAGTTTCCACCACTGCGAGCGAGAAAAAGAGAGAGAGAGATCACAGATTCTGTTTCCAATGGAAGTTCCCGCGTTTACGGTTCCGCTTACACAGAAAGATTCCGATAGCAGGAGCAGCAACACGAAGTCTCAGGCCATGGAGAAAGCGAACGGCGCCAAGAATCTCTCCGCCGCCGCCGCCGCCGTCCCAGAGGTTCTCGGCGACTCCACCGCCATTGACACCGTCGCATCGGCCACTGCTGGTGTTGCTTCAGCAACGCAGAAGAAGGCGCGGAAGAAGAGGCCGCAGCAACTCATCAAGGTCTCCAACACCAAGAATCCTTTCATCTTCTACCTCAATCTCGCCAAGGTAAGAAAACATGGAAACTCGAGTAGATTACGCTTTGATTTCACTGAAGATGATTGAGTAAATCGGCAGAATTATGGAGATCTTCATCGTTGTCGCATGGATCTTTTAATGTAAACTTGAGTCTCTTTCGCGTTTTTTCCTCTTGCGATTTCTGGTCTTGATGGTGCTCTGTTTGGGAGAAAATGAGACCTCGAAGCGACGAATTTTCTTACGAAATTAGGGTTCCATTCTTTTCCAGAAGTTAATAGATTAAGGCCGAAACCTTCGAAAGTGGGGGCAATGAACGCATTCTCTTTCTGCGCTTCATGCTCTGCGCCGCCTCCAGAATTTCTTCGGCGTTTGAGTTTGTGATGATCGTTTGTGAAGTCTCTTTTGCGTCAAATTTAGGGTTTTGGAGATGAATATAGCCAGTAATTAATACGCGGTTCCGTTGTTGCAGAGGCACATCAAGCAGTACAACTCTGTGGAGCTTTCTGGTCTTGGAATGGGTAACCGTTCTTTCGCTTACTTGCTCTGTTCGGCGTCTCTTCAATCATGTTCCCTACAGAAATATAAAACTTCATGTCATCTGTGGCTTTTAGAGATTCTGATCGGAATTGTGACTCTTAGGGATTCTTGATCGAATCTGATTACGGTGTCTTATTTTTTATAAACTGTGTCCTATTATTTGCTTGGCTCAACAACTAAAATTCGGTGTTGAATGCATGCTTTGTGGGGTTTGTGATTGGGTAAACCAGCGATTCCTACTGTGGTTACGATCGCCCAGACTCTGAAGCGCACTGGACTTGCAGTCGAGAAGAGTAAGGCGCTAAGTCCTCTCGTTCGTCTATTCTTCTAATGAAAACATTTTCCTGATCAAACCCTTTCCAGTTTGGAGTTAACTGAATCACGTTTCATATCGAAACTGCGAACAAACAGGTATCAAAATCTCCAGCGTTGAATCTAAGGGGGCTGAGACTGGCCGCTTGGTTCAGAAAGCAAAGGTGGGTATCTATCTGATTGATCGACTCGATGAAATCATTCATGTCAACCAAAACTAACTTCGATTTCATCTCTTTATCTGGATAATAATAGATCGATATTCTGCTGGAGAAGGCGGCTGTGAAATCTGATGAGACTTCTACCATGTCTACGTCTGCCGATACCATCTCTGAGGCTGTCTCCGTCATTTGACTGCAGCCCTGCCAGTAGTAATGAGGGACTTCTTGTTGTTAATCCACATTCTCGTGGTGATTCGTGCATAGATAGTGGAAGCTCTGCTGTATTGTTCTTCCTAGTGTCCATTTCGTATATTCTGCCGTAGCCTGTCAAGAACAAGTAACAGAGGTGGTAGTCTTGGCCTCTTTGCTGACAGATGTTTTTACTTGTGCTCGTACATTTCGTTTCTGTTGTAGTTGGCCAGGCTTACTGGACTAGTAAATGTACAAGTACTAGCCTGCTTACTTCTCACATTACTTCAACTGTAAACAGAACAACAGTTGGTTTCATCTAGCAATCAGACGTTGGGAGTGCTCTTTTGCATCAATATAGTGACAGCTTGGCAAGAGTAAGGGCAAGTACTTTGACACCGTTGGCTATATCTTGACTAGAAGAATATTCTTCAGGTTTGTGGCTGTATCCTACAAAATCCAAGTAAAACATATGTATACTAGATCAGTAGCCTGTTCATTGTCTAGGTAATACGACCCTTAATAGCGCTTCTGGTGTGACATATCTACCTTTGTAGCATGGAATGAAGAGCATGCCCATTGGAGATATCCTGCGAAAGTTAAAATGGTTGCAGTGTCAGTCAGCTGTTTGTAGTAAGGGATATTGAGAACATCAATAGCAGTTCATTTGTGCATGTAAAGGGCCTTCTTACCTGGCCATAAATAGGGAATCGTGGTAAGCACTGCTTATCATCGATTTATGAGTTAAATTCAACTCCTTTGCGGCATCTCCCATTGCCTTAATTATAGATTTATCTGACAAAGCTGGTGGATCCTAATTCACTATTCTGAATTCTGACAGTGACACGCTACGCTTTTTGGCTATTGCGACAGCAGACTGATGGATTTTCTCTATCACTTCATTTCTTCGTTTCTCATCAATGTCCCGGGTATCTGCCACATATGAAAACATGGAACAGGATTATGTGCATACAACAATGATTGGAACTTCTGGACTCGATAAATCATACCGATTTCCAGGTGTGACTTGCTTGGGATGCTGTTGATTGCTCCAGGATGAAGCTCCAGTATACCTGTGCAAGTATGAACTATTTATTAGCTTTAGAAAACATCATTCATGTATAGTCTAGTCTAAATTCGACAAAACTGTCCAAGGCTTACAAGTGGTAAACTAAACATACCTACTGTACCAACAGTATCAATTGAACCAGAATCTAAAGCATGTTTCTCAACAGCTAGTGCCAACTCAGCAGCTGCAAGCCCAGCATCATTTCTGATCCAATGCACACAGAAATCCAGTTTCTATTAGTACCGATTGTGGATGCTGTATAACTTTCCTCATCATACAAAAATTTGTAAACAGGATGGCAGATGGTAAAACAGTTTAACATGCATGACACAAAGTATCACCAAATGTTTAAAAGGATTACCTATTAGGCATCAAGACAGCACCAGCATGGCCTCCATTGCCTTTAAAATCAACCTTGATGCTTGCAGGAGCTGCAATTGCAGTTACTATACCGATGGACAAGCCTGATACGAAATAAGATTGATGTGGACGAGGACCAAGACTATCCTGAATACAGTAAGGAAAAGTAGCAAACAGTAATATACTCTACCTTCTGCCTCGAGAATTGGACCCTGCTCTATATGTAGTTCCAGGAACGCAGAATAGCTTCCACTATTTAGGAAAACACTGGATAAGTCATCTTCGTCCTTCATATAACCAGCTAGTCTAGCAGCATCCACAAATGATATGTTTTGACCATCAACTGTGGTTTTCTTCAAAGCTTCAGCAAGTACCTCACTCCCAGCCAATAGTCGGCTGTATGTCAAAACATAACAGATAAATACAGTCTCTATAAGCTAGCAAAGAGAAAATGGCATTGGTAGCAAAGAACGAGCAGCTGTTTTAACCTTCCTAAGCAGCTGATCCCAAATCTTGTTGGTTCTTCTGATGTGAATAAGATAACTTCTAGCGATCTCTTTGGTCGGAACCCTGATCTGTGGCAGAAAGTTACTTGCTAAAATGAGTAACACATAAACTTTGATTGATGATTCATTTTACGAGCCCTTCTAGTGTGCTCTATAGCACCCATGCTATAAAAAACAAAAAACAAAAGGTGACCTGTTGAGGAGGTAACCCACTAAATGACTGGTCCCACATTATTAATGGCAATCTTGTAAATAATGAATCAATGTATACAAGTGTAGGTACAAATTAGAGTTGTACCATATAGTATAGGTACAAGTTTCAGCTGTAACATTGAAGAATTTGTTTCACAAAGTGTAGGTACAACTTAAAGTTGTACCATTAGTATAGGTACAATTTTTAGTTGTACCATAAAGGGATTTGTTAGAAAGTGTAGGTACAACTTAAAGTTGTACCATGGTATAGGTACAAGTTCGGGTTGTACCATAAAAGAATTTTGAGAAAGTGTAGGTACAACTTAAGGTTGTACCATTAGTATAGGTACAATTTTTAGTTGTACCATAAAGGGATTTGTTAGAAAGTGTAGGTACAACTTAAAGTTGTACCATGGTATAGGTACAAGTCTGGGTTGTACCATAGAAGGATTTGGAGAAAGTGTAGGTACAACTTAAGGTTGTACCATTAGTATAGGTACAATTTTGAGTTGTACCATAAAGAGATTTATTAGAAAGTGTAGGTACAACTTAAAGTTGTACCATAGTATAGGTACAAGTTTGGGTTGTACCATAGAAGGATTTTGAGAAAGTGTAGGTACAACTTAAGGTTGTACCATTAGTATAGGTACAATTTTGAGTTGTACCATAAAGAGATTTATTAGAAAGTGTAGGTACAATTTAAAGTTGTACCATTAGTATAGGTACAATTTTGAGTTGTACCATAAAAGGATTTGTTAGAAAGTGTAGGTACAACTTTACAACTTAAAGTTGTACCATGGTATAGGTACAAGTTTAGGTTGTACCATAAAAGAATTTTGAGAAAGCGTAGGTACAACTTAAGGTTGTACCATTAGTATAGGTACAATTTTTAGTTATACCATAAAGGAATTTGTTAGAAAGTGTAGGTACAACTTAAAGTTGTATCATGGTATAGGTACAAGTTTGGGTTGTACCATAAAAGAATTTTGAGAAAGTGTAGGTACAACTTAAGGTTGTACCATTAGTATAGGTACAATTTTTAGTTGTACCATAAAAGAATTTTGAGAAAGTGTAGGTACAACTTAAGGTTGTACCATTAGTATAGGTACAATTTTTAGTTGTACCATAAAGGGATTTGTTAGAAAGTGTAGGTACAACTTAAAGTTGTACCATGGTATAGGTACAAGTTTGGGTTGTACCATAGAAGGATTTGGAGAAAGTGTAGGTACAACTTAAGGTTGTACCATTAGTATAGGTACAATTTTGAGTTGTACCATAAAGAGATTTATTAGAAAGTGTAGGTACAATTTAAAGTTGTACCATAGTATAGGTACAAGTTTGGGTTGTACCATAGAAAGATTTTTAGAAAGTGTAGGTACAAATTAAAGTTGTACCATTAGTATAGGTACAAGTTTGGGTTGTACCATAAAGAGATTTATTAGAAAGTGTAGGTACAACTTAAAGTTGTACTATGGTATACGTACAAGTTTGGGTTGTACCATAGAAGGATTTTTAGAAAGTGTAGGTACAAATTAAAGTTGTACCATTAGTATAGGTACAAGTTTGGGTTGTACCATAAAGGGATTTATTAGAAAGTGTAGGTACAACTTAAGGTTGTACCATTAGTATAGGTACAATTTTTAGTTGTACCATAAAGGGATTTGTTAGAAAGTGTAGGTACAACATTAAGTTGTACCATAGTGTATATGTACAATTGTGAATTGTACCATAGAAGATTTTTTGGAAAGTGTAGGTACAACTTTAAGTTTAGTGTAAAGGTACAACTCTAGAATATGAGATTTTGACGGGCGTGACAATGTCAAGTAGTAGCCGTGAAATTTCCTGGGATAGTGAGAACTGCTCTTTGCATCTCACGGGACATCTCACGGTCGTGATATTTGCCTGAGGAATGAAGCACTGCTTTTTACATCTCACTTGAGTATTTTACGGTCGTGAGATTACCAGTATACGGTGTCAGATTTCCAGTAGGAGACTTTCACCTGTTGAACTATCCTGTGTACTTATTATAATGGTGTTCCAAACAGAATGGACTTTTTTCCAGAACTTCAAACTTATGAAAAAGATGATTCATAATGTTCTCTAAACCTTGACACGAGCATTACAAAGGTCTCTCTCACGGTCTCTCTCACGGCCGTGATATTTCCATCTCACGGCTCCTTATCCCGGGCGGGACATTTTTTTAAATTTAACGGTTCATCTACCGTCCGTGAGATTTGGGTTATGGGGCGTGAGAAATTGAGAGTGTTTTGTGTTATGGGGCGTGAGAAATTGGGAGTGGTTTCCATATCACGGCTTATTCTCTCGGCCGTGACAATTTAATTACAAGCCGTGAGGTTTCCATCTAAGAACAAAAAACAACAATAACTAGATATATCCATCTAGCCACCCACAATTGAAGAGAAGATCACTATTTGATCATTAGAGTTATGGAGTACATTGCAATTGATTTGTAGAAAAGAAATTGAACATACATATATAACACAATTTATGTCCTTATTAATTCACCCCATCTCAAGAATTTGTGTAGCAAACTTTTGTCGAACATCCATGCCCATCCCCCTCCCATGAATCCACAACTGCATTCATATTTTCCACACCTAAGAAATCCTGCAGGTCCAGAAAAAAAAACACATATATACAACACAAAGATCAAATCACTACCATTAAGCACCACCAAGGCTTATACAAATCACACAAACGCAACAATCAGTCAAATTCTAGGCTATCACCAAACCAAGATAATCCAAAGATCCAGTAGAAAAATTAAGAACGACTAAATAAGCAACACTCACTGGTTGACTCAAGCCGCCTAGAAGCCTCCTGTTACACAATGACAACTACTCTTCACCAAGAACTAAGTTGTGAATTGATACACTGATACAGAGAGAGATTACCTTCTTCATTACTGTTTCCTTTTTCCAGGTTTCAACACCCTTTAATAATGCTTTCGATGATGTGCCTATACCATGATAATAATTAGTACCTATAAACATAACAATAACATAATCTACTGTTTGTGAAAACTACAAGCTTATGAAAAGATACTGGAAGATATAGACTTACAGACTTCTCCCTTGACGTCTCTTTGAGTATTCCATCCTCTTCGATCTCCACTTTTGTAACTCCCCTTGGAGCTGGGGTGATACCGGACAGATCAAACTTTCCTAGCTAGATGCAACCTTGGTTAGGGGTTTTGCATCCCTCCCACTCAAAACTTCTCTCTATGTATTTCGATCTCTCTGTATTTACAGTATTCTCAATACCAAAAGCCCGGAAACAGCTAAAACACTTTAGTTACTTGGGAGGATGCCATGGAATGTCATGGTAAATTACCCTAAAATGGTTTGCATACTATAATCCCCCAATCAACTGGCATTGGACCTAACATCTGGTCAGCATGTGCTCAAAAGATCTCGTTCCAGCCTTAAGGATTAGCAGATTTTGTCGTGCATATTTAAAATAGAGTTTGGTATTATTGCTCAGCTCTTCATGGATTTGCTACTTTACATACAGAACATAAAATGACATGCTCTAACCAGCTTTAGAAGCAGGTGCAGGTCATAATACTACAGGAACGGACAGAAAAACTTACGGCAATAGAGGGGCAACAGAAATTGTACCTCCACATGTTTATACAGCTCAGGCGGAGGTAACTTTACAGCATCAAGCATTTTCGGTTTTCCACACTTTGCCGCCAAAGCCCCCATTTCTTTGCAAATTAACTGTACTGCTTTCTGGCTTCATTGACATACAACAGGCAAAGTACTCACTAGGGCTGATCCACAACAGGTCATTGAAACGTGGAGATATTTCCACATGAGGAAAATAAAACAGCCAGTACAGCACAGAACATGGACGGTAAGATAAAATGGCTCAAACCTCAATCATCAGTATAGCGCTATCTGTACCAGCCAGCACTAAGTCTAGCACTGACTTCTCCATCTCTTTGTTTGTGGGGTTCACAATAAATTTATTGTCAACGAGACCAACTCGAACTCCTGCAATGGGCTTTGTATTTGGAACTTCCGACAGAGATCTACGAAATTTTAAGTTAAGAAAATAAGCAATATATTAGTGATGGTTCCTGTATCAAGGCTTCTCAGGGGCCAGAGATAATGAGAAAGAGGAGCATAAATGGGACAACATACACTGCTATCCCAGCAGCTGTGACGGCCAATACATCAGGTGGGTGCAAACTATCATAGCTCAAAACCTGTGATAATGAAGGTGCAAACTATCATATTGACTAAATGCTTCTTATGCTAGACAGGAAGCAAATACCTCATGATCTTTTGCTCTTCCCTCTCGTTTAAAAAACCCTCCACTTAAGCCATGCCAGATGGAAAGGGCAAATCAGTTTTCTGAAACAATCTTCCAAACTAACAATGAAAACAACAAAAACACCATATACCTTGTTCGACCTGCAGCTGAAAAACGCTCTTGATAATGTACAGAAAGAGGGAAAAAGTCTGAAGGTTCGCTTGGAACATCATTCAAACAAACAGATGTATAGACAACCTGCGAAGAAAAGTTTGAAAATGGTGTTTGATACCTGAGTTTTTTATGATAACAGACATTCTATGCTTGGCGATTATGAAGAGTAAAATGCTCAATAAAAACCTAAAAGGTACTGCAAAGAAAGCAATAATAAAACGTTCAACCAACTGATCACAAAGCACATTCAAGGCTTAAAGATAATCTATTACATTTCCCCATGATTTCCATGCCTTAAAACATTCAACAGAGCAAGTCGTGCAGCACAGCACAATAATATCTTCTTTCTAGTGTTTTCTAGGGACGTAATGATTCACATTTCTCCGTCTATGACTAGTCCCCTTAAACCATGGATTCCCCTAGAATGGAAAAGCATGACCTGAATCAGTAAGTCTCCAGATACGTCCAACCATCACTGTTCAAGCTTGCGTTCAGACATTGAAAATGTTGATTGAGTTTCCGCCCCAGCCATTCAAGTAACAAATGAAAGCAGATTTAAAAAATCTCAGTCCACTACTTACAGTTTCTCCATCAGTCACCATAACAGCACCACTAGCCTGTCTTCCCATATGACCTGTTTCAACCAATATCTGCAAAATTATTACAAGGACACTTTGATAACCTCTCAAAAGCACAATTCAACTAGTTAATCACAACAAATTCTTTAGTTTAAGCCTCAACCTAAGAGAGAAGCAGCTCTACAACTACAATTTCCTTACTAACAGAAAAGTTCAATTCTTAATAGCTTACTTCAAGCTTAATGAATTCAAAGAGTAATAACATTATTGATCACGGAAAGCAATAACCAGAACACAATTTTCTAATACTTCACCTCTCTGTCTCCGTAGGGGATTTTAACAGAAACGTATTGAGGGAAGAACTGCGCTCCATCTACAGCAACCGACTCGGGGAATTGGTGGTCTTCAATGGAAGCTCTAACGCGGGAGAAGCTTTCTGCAGCTTTCCTTGGTACAAGCAGGGATAAGGAGCGGGACCTTGATTTTCTGGGACCAAAGCAACGAGAGCAAGTTGGAAAGTCGAAGCGGCTACTGGAAACCCGAAACGGATAGCTTCGGGGACGAGAAATGCTCCCATGGAGGGTGCCGGTGCTAGGATTTGCCAGCATTCCGCCGGCCGGAGGACGGGGTAGAGTAACCGGTGGAGAGTGGGGTGAAGCGAGAGGTAGTAGCTATACTGGCAGGGAAAGGGATGAAGGGAAAGGACGGGCACTTATCCGTTTGTGGCGCCAGGTTTTAGAAAGGAAGATGGGTTTATGCGTGTTTACGTTTTGCTGCAAATAACCTCCATGACCTTGTGTACCGTTCCAATTCTGCAGCTTCTCTGAGAAGCATTGCAGCTATTCTGTTCTCCGTTTCCAGATCCATCACAGCTCGCATATGAAGGTCTCTACCTATAAAATAGATACCAACGCAAATTTTCAATTAGGGTTTACAAAACTCTATGCAATCGACTCCCCTTTCTCAATCAATCAATTCTCATTCATGATTTCTAACAAAAGAAACGACATCAATGAGTAACAACAGAAAGGAGGATAGCTGGTGCTGGCTGGAGAAGGACCGTAGCCGGCCAACCTCCTCGCCGGTGCCGAAAACGAGTTTCAATAACAAAGACCGCATTAAAAAAACTTACCTAGAGGAAGATACAGGCAGCACCGCAGCGGAGCAACAGGCGAAGGGAAACTGAGTACCGAAGGCGGCGGCGGAGGATGTTCTCTGGAAGTCGGCGGTGAGAAGAGGGTCTCAGATCTGCTCGGAGAGGAGAAGGATAAGAGAATGGGTTTCGAAAACTTTTTTCACGTACAACCGGTTGTACCGGTTGACCATAAACAAATAAAACAATATATTAATAATCTAAATAAGATCTAATGGCTGATATATTTTGAACATGATCTAATGGCTGTAAACGTTTTATAGCACCAATACTATAAAGCACACTAAAATGCCTCTCATTTTACACGATTATAATGTCAACCCTTAATAAAAAGTTACATCTTTAGTACATTTACAGCTTCTATTGCACCCAAGACACCAACAACTCCATCATACTTCCCGGAGTATGGAATGGCATCAATGTGAGAACCAGTTGCAACTGCTGGGAGCCCAGGCTCGTAGCCATCCCGGCAGAAAGAAAAGGCAAGACCTAAAGGTACATGGCCAAAAAACCCAAAAGCAAGCTAACATCCAAATGAGATAATCAAGTTCCATTCACCTAATCTCGGTTCACAAGGTATCATGGATTAAAGACTTACCATCGGCCAAATATGTTGCCAACATCATCTTCCCTAACTGAGAGGCCAGAGAGTGGCATCAATTTTTTTTTTGATGAATAAGCAGCTTTTATTCATCAAAGGGGGATTTCATGGTAAAACTCCTCTAACTGGAACCCAAGAACCGAGTACAGAGAAAAAACAAAACCAACAGATCAGACCAAAATAGAGCAAAACCCAGTCTATCTAACTACACTCTCCATCTACACTATACTATTCACATACTCCTCTAAGACTGCAAGCTCAACTTGAGAAAATCCACCCCTGAGCAGACGCAGCAACCCTTGCAGCTTCAGAAGAAGCTGGTTTTCTGACAGCACCTCTCCAGCCATAACTCTTCTGCACCTTTCTCTCCAGAGTTCAGCCACCACCATCACCCAAAGAAGCCTACCACGATCGGATGAGGAGCCCTTTGATCGAAAAAAAGATATGGCAATTGCCAAAGATCCCTCCCAATTAGGCCCCACCATATTTCTTCCTGCAAACACAGCCTGCAAAACACACTGAGAATAAGGACACTCAAAGAAGAGGTGATCCCTTGACTCTGCCATAGTGGTGCATAAGGGGCAGGTGTTGATCACTGAGCTATTCCATCTCTGAATCTTGTCAAGAGTGGATATTCTGTTCAATATAACCAACCAGACAATCATTTTATCTCTAGGGGTCCCAAATGACTTCCAAAGCAAAGTATACCACTGAACTGCCTCATGCTTAACCCGAAGTGTCTCCCAAACTTTTTTCACGAAAAACTTGTCCATTACACAATCATTCTAGTAGACTCTAGCAGACCTAACTGTAAGATGCTGAGCCACTCTAATCCTGATCTTCAAAACCTTCCTCCAGGCCCATGAGCAGGGAATGGAATCAGGCATCTCCCAGATGGAAGTGTAAGAGGTTTGGTAGTGTCTGACCTAGCTGGCCCACAGAGAAGAAGAGTTTGAGGATATGGCCCAGAGGTGCCTAACCAGGCATGCCATATTCCAGCTCCTGAGGTCTTTAAACCCTAAACCCCCTCCTTTTTGGGTCTAGCTACCATCTGCCAGAGAACTTTAGCTCTTTTCCCCTCCTCCTCTGAACTCCATAAGAAGTCAGAACAAGCTTTCTCAATCAGTTTTATCACTTTGACTGGGAGCTGAATGATCCCCATCCAATACTGGGTGATGCTGGAAATAACAGCTGATATGAGTTGCAATTTACCAGCATAAGATAGAGTCCTCACCTTCCAGCCTCTTATTCTAGCAGTTATCTTCTCTACCAAAGCCAGACAATCAGAATTATTCAGTTTCCCTGCAATGAGAGGAATCCCTAGGTATCTCACAGGAAGATGCCCTATGACAAACCCAGTTCTGGAAGAAATCTGAGTCTGAACACTAGGATCCACTCCCCCACAGAATACCTCACTCTTAGCAGGATTGCATCTCAGCCCAGACACAGTATAGAAGGCATCCAAAATAGATTTTGCTTGTCCAACAGCCTCTGGTGTCCCCTTTGTGAAAACCAGTAGGTCATCAGCAAAGCACAAGTGGGAGAGACCTATTCTGTGAGTTTGAGGGTGGGGAGGGAGAGACTTAATGGCATAAGCCCTATTGAACATACAGGAGAGAACCTCCATGGCAATTACAAACAGGTAAGGGGACAGGGGGTCCCCTTGCCTCAAACCCTTCTGAGCAGAAAAATTTCCACAGAGTCCACCATTAAAGCACACACTCAGCTTTGTACTTTGCAGACAAACATCAATCCATTTAATGAACTGATCAGGGATTTTCATAGCCTGCATTACTGCTTTTAAGTAACACCAGTCTACACTATCAAATGCCTTCATCACATCAACTTTTAGGGCACAACTAGGGGATATGGCCTTCCTATTATATAACCTCACCATCTCATGAGCCAGAAGGACATTATCACTAATTAACCTCCCCTTAATAAAAGCAGAATGGTTCTGACTAATGACTACAGGAAGCACTTCCTTCAATCTATTGGCAAGGACCTTAGCAATACACTTATACAGTTTGTTGCAACAAGAAATTGGCCTAAATTGCTTCATACAATCAGCATTCTGAACCTTAGGAATAAGAGCTAAGTAGGTGGAATTTACCTCTGCAAGGAGTTTCCCTGTCCTGAAGAAGTCCAAAACTGCATCTGTGAGATCCTTGCCCAAAACCTCCCAGTTATGTTGGAAAAATCCAGCTGTGAAGCCATCTGGACCTGGAGATTTATCTCCATTCATAGAAAAAAGAGCTGCTTTGACTTCTTCTCGAGATACTTGAGAGCATAGAGGATCTGCCTGTTCAGGAGTGAGAGAGTGGACTAATAGCTGTGAAATCAGTTCGCTGCTCACTCTCTGGACATCAGGATTCTTGGTCCCCAACAGATTTTGATAGAATCTAACAGCTTCCTCATTCATTTCCTTAGTGTCAATGAGAGTAGTACCTTCTTTTGAGACGATTTTTTTGATGGTGGATCGAGCCTGACGAGCTTTGACATAATTGTGGAAGAATGAAGTGTTCAAATCTCCTATTTTAACCCAAAGAAGGCGAGATTTCTGCCTGTAGATAGCCTCTTCCTCTTTAAGGAGCTCAAAAAGTCTAAGTTGACATTTGTTTGCTCTTTGAAAGGACTCTAGGAAGGTTGCTTGAGTGCCTCTAACTGCAATCCCTCCACTTCACAACGAGCAAGACGAACTCTCTCTGAAATTTCTGAATAGGAAGATCTATTCAATTTTTTCAGCTGCCTCTTAACCTCCCTCAACTTCTGACAAACTATGAACATAGGAGTCCCCCTAAAACTTCTGTTCCAGGCATCTTTGATTATTTAGTTATACTGAGGATGTGTTTCCCAACAGCTGAAATATTTGAAAGGTTTTGGGAGAGAGGTGATGTGGATATCTGTGTTCACTAGTAAACCACAGTGGTCTGACAGTCGTGGGGGAAGAAGGGTTACTGCAAAACTTGGAAATTCAACTAACCAACTAGAGTTCATAAGGACCCTATCAATCCTTCTTGCAATAGGATTCCCCTCCTGCTTATTTGTCAAGGAGAACCAAGGACCCTCAAAAGCACTTTCTTCTAACTCCATGCTAACAATCCAATTGTCAAAGTCTACCATACTTTGCGAGCTGGCTGGTTGATTGGAGGCCTCATTAGCATTCCTTATAGCATTAAAATCACCTAACACTATCCAAGGTAAGGTGTCTGGTTTAAGCACAGGGTTCTGAAATAGGGTACGCCTACTACTCTCATCATTTGATCCATACACAAAGGTGATCTTAACAGTTTTTTCACCTCTGACCTCCCCATGGATGAATTGCTCTGATTTCTCTAACACAACAAAGTCCAGCTCCCTTTTCCAGAAAATCCATAACCTTCCTAATGCTGAATGCTCATAATTATGAGCATACTCCCATCTGCCAAACTTCAAGTCCACAATCTCTTTAGATTTCCCTTCCTTCACCCTGGTTTCAAGTACCCCAAAAACATCTACATTTTCTCTACTTACTACTTCCAAAACCTGATTCTGCTTGTCGGGGTCATTAAATCCCCTAATATTCCAAGCTAGAACCTTCATTTCTTCTGTTTGGGTTTGGCAGGCCTGCCTGGCCCCTTCTTACCTTGTTTATCTTTCCCCTTACCACCTCCCTCCAGAACAGGAAATTCAGCCAGGTTGTGGAGAACTGGGCTACTTACAACAATGTTACCAACCTCAAACGAGTCCACAGTTAAACTTTGGTATCTATTTGCCACAGGCATGCTAGTACTTTCTCCAGCAGAAGAAGACGGTTGCCCTATCATAGCTGACTGAAGCTCATCTTCTGTAGGCAACTCCACAGCTGACTTTTG